TTTTAAATTTTAATATTTATTTTTTAGTTTTCGGCGGACACAACAGCTTTGTTGGTATGTGGTGCTGAGGATCGAACCCGGGCCGCACGCATGCCAGGTGAGCGCACTACCGCTTGAGCCACATCCCCAGCCCCATAGAATTTGGTTCTTAAAATGATACCATCTTGTCAATCCTTGGACTTGAACCATTTGATTTGGTCCTTAGCCTCTCTTTCTTTTTTGACATCCATTACATCCAAAACTGACACCAGATTTCTTTTCCTTCTGAAAAGTTTTATCTTTTCTTGACTACTTCTATCACCTTATGTTGGTCTTTGACATTTCATTCTTGAACCGATTTTTAACCATCTTCTAAACAGCCTCCTGTTTTTGTCCACTGTAACTCATTTTATATAATAATTTCTCTACATCAGTTTTCTAAAACACTACTTTTCCCTTATCACATTCGTTACCTAAAACTACCAATGGCTCTTAATAGGCATTAGGATGAAAATTCAAACCCAAATTACTGATGTGTAAAGCCCTCCTGAATCTGTTTCTTTCTTTCTTTCTTTTTTTTAATATTTATTTTTTACTTATAGGTGGACACATATCTTTATTTTTTTTTTAAGTGGTGCTAAGGATCGAAACCAGGGCCTCACGCATGCTAGGTGAGCGCTCTACCTCTGAGCCACAATCCCAGCCCTGCCTAAACCTGTTTCTAAACAACATTTCCAATCTATCTTCCACGGCTTCTCTTAAGAAACAATTTAAACATGAGTTAAATTATTAAATAATAATAGAAATAATAGAGGAAGGAATGATAGAAATACAAAATCACAAAAGCTCATAAGAATAAGAGATCACATGAGATTATTGATTATAGCAGTAGTTTTCTTCTTTTTTTTTTTTTTTTTGTGTGTGTGTGTGTGTGTGTGTAATGCTGGGGACTGAACCCAGGGCTTTGTGCATGCAAGGCAAACACTCTACCAACTGAGCTATATCCCCATCCCTATAGCAGTGGTTTTAGACTCTTATGACTCCCACTAAGAAATTTTGTGTTGTCATCCAAAATACATGTACAAAACTGAAACAAACGATTTAGGTAATTTGCCCTTCTAATAAAATCTGATTCTTAATTTAATGTCCGTCCCTTAATTATGCTTTATACTTCCTGTCCAACATTTTTTTCTCCTACTCTCCCAGGAAGTCTTCCAAGATCACGCTAGACAAAAGAATTTCTATGTTGGTATTACTGACATTCTGGATTCAACAATTTTTTTGTTGTAAAGGGCTGTCCTGTGCATTTTAGGATGTTTAGCAGCGTCCATGGCTTCTACCAACTGGATAACTGTAATGCATCCAATTATGATGACTAAAACAACTCCATGAACTTAGCAAATGTCTTCTGGTAGGCAAAATCAACCCCAGTTGAGAACAGAGTAGTCTTCCTCAACAAAGATCTATCTAGCTCAAAATATTAATAGGATGAGAAAACCTACTGTATACTAGTGGTTTTTATATTGCAAGTTGTAGCTTATTGGATTATGAAATAATTCAAGGGGTTGTAAAGAACACTAAAGAAAATGTATGATATGTCAAGATCATTGTATTGTCTTGAGCAACCAATAAAAAAAAAAACATTAAAGAAAAGAGAAACAACAGAAAATTTTAGACTTTATTAGAAGGTCAAATTACTTAAATCTGTTGTTTCAAGGCTGGGGATGTGACTCAAGTGGTAGCGCGCTTGCCTGGCATGCGTGCGGCGCTGGGTTCAATCCTCAGCACCACATACAAATAAAGACGTTGTGTCAGCCAAAAACTAAAAAATAAATATTAAACTCTCTCTCTAAAAAAAAAAAAAAAAAAAAAAAATCTGTTGTTTCAGTTTTGTACAAGTACATATATTTTGGACTATGACACAAAATTTCTTACTAGGAGTCTTGGTCATAAGAATCTAAAACCACTGCTACAATCAATAATCTCATTAAATGTCTTATTCTTATGAGCTTTTGTGATTTTGTATTTCTATCACTCCTCTATTATTTCTATTATTATTTAATAATTTAACTCATATATTTATGTCTTACTCCCTAAACTTGTAAGAATTTTGATGGAAGGGAATATATTTTATTCTGGAATCTTCCACTACAGTATCTTACATAGTTATGTTGCTAATACCATTTTCAATTTAAAAAAAGCTATTTAGAAGGTTCAATTTTTGAGTCCATACTTGCCTGCAAAGAGATCCTGTGGCTCCTGGTCTTGTTCTTCCTCAATCCCATTTTCTTTGGAACCATTGTTGATGGGAAGAATAGATAGTCTCTTTGGAGACTGGGGTTTATTCTGAAAACAGTGAGATACTCTGAATAAAACAGTATTTATTAAAAACAAATAACATGCCTAGAAAAAATTTTTTTGATACAATCCCTCTGTCCCTTGGTTGTTTCCCCAAGTGTTTTAGGGGACAACAGGATCACTTGTCAGCCAGTTCAATTAGCAGCAAAACATTAATAGTAATGAAAGTACTGCTACTCAAATGATCACAGAGCTAAGATAGGTTCATATAATTCAGGTTTAATTTCTAAAACTATACCCTTGCTGAAATGCCCTACCCCAAAGTACGTAACAACAATGGTGTGTGTAAGCACATATAATTTTCAAAAGAATCTGTACAAATGCATTTCTCCTTCTCAGCTGATGACTTTTATTCTTTCAAATGCTGATGAGGCACATTCTAGTGACCAGGACACACCACTCTGGAGTCCAGAATTCAAGCTCTGACCCTGGTTTACTTTTGTAGTGTTGTCTAAACTGTTAACTGAAACTCACTTGTGTTAAATGTTACTAACCCACATGACAGGCAAAGCAAGGTATACACTTTACATCTAATGCTGTTGGTGAATATAACTTCTTTTTTCATCCTTCTCACATACACAAAATTTTCAACCACATTCTCTCAGGCTAGGAGAATAAAAACCAGTCATGCTTGGCCTAGAAGGCACATGGTGAAAATACAGTCAGTACATGGCCTTCAGTAAACCAGGCAAACAAGGGTGGGGTGGATCCCCAGACCGGTACCAGAGGGAACAAAGCCGGATTGTGTACCACATGAACAGAAAGCTGGGAATCTGGTTTCAAAAGCCTATCATTGTGGAATTGCAGGGTTTTGAAGTCAGACCCTAAGGCTAAATCAGTTAAAAGACCTGAAACTTTTATGAAACATGTCCTTAACAAATCTGAGGGATTTGGTTCCTTGGAGACAAGACCTTTTCTGACCCAACAGAACAAAGTGAAATGACATCTATTTGGGTACTTTGAATTTTTCATGCTAACAGCTTCGTCACCATAATGGGGCCCCCCTCTAGGAAAGAAACTGTTACCAATATTTAGATTTATATTAGTAAATAATGCCTCTACTGCAACTTTTCTATGTTAATAAAGTTTAACAAGGTGCTTAGTTGTATATGTCTACATGTTATACCAAAAGTGGGTCCTGTCCTCTATCTGCTTCCACAATCTTCAAAAACAAAACAAAACAAAATCACTGTCTGCTGGACATGATGGTGCATGCCTGTAGTACCAGCTACTAGGGAGGGGGAAGCTGGAGAATCACTTGAGCCAAGACACCAGCCTGGGCAACAAGTGCAAGAAGATCCCATCTCAAAAAAAAAAAAAAAATCACTACAGAGAGAAGATAAATAACTGGGTAAAAACAAAACTAGAACTTCCCTTTGCCTCATAAAACTGCCAACCACCTTCCTACACAACCACTTCCTTCCTTCACTCTTACACAGTACAGTGACTTCATAAGCCACCTTTTGTAGTGTTGTCTAAACTGTTAAAAGATCCAGGAGAGATTAAAACCCAGTATACAGTAAGAATATATGTTCACAAATGTAATTTACTAGTAGCTCACAAGGGAAACTAAAGTAACAGGAAAGTCAGTAAAAATTTAATCACTTTTAAAAATGCCTAAAAGAATCTATTCCTGTGATATGCAGATGAATAAAGCCAGATTTCCACTTCTGACCTGTCAACTAATCTTGGAAGTTACATGACTAAGAATGCTTTATGAAACATTGTTAGGATAGCAGTCTGTCACAGTGACAGATGGAGATGAATGGGATACACAGGGACAAGTACAGCATTAGCTCCTGTCTTTTCTCCCTCCACCCAGCCCCCTTCAATCCCAATCCAGTAAGTATGACTAGAAATATGATTTAAAAAAAGATGTGTGCTCCCTCAGTAAGCTAAGTAACTGTGAGACTCAAAACTACTCTCAGATCTCCCCTGGGAGCCCATTCCCAAAACCACACAGTTAAGTCCTAAGAGAGCTGAAGATAGACTGACTACCATACCTATTACGTTAATCTTCCTCAGCAGTTCTTTTACAAAATTAATCTTCTACAAATGTAAAACTCTATGTCCTGCTTCTTCTCCCTACATTGTTTTCCCTATCATTAATAATTGTAGGGCTGAGGGTGTAGCTCAGTGGTAGAGCACTTGACTGGCACGTATGAAGGCCTGGGTTCAATCCCCAACACCAAAAAGAAAAAAAAATTGGGGGGTGAATAGCCCAAAAGAAATTCTGGTCATTTGGGAGGCTGGTAATGTGGCTCAGTGGTACAGTACTTGCCTTGAACGCAAGAGGCCCTGGGTTCAATCCCAGCAATACCAAAAACAACAAAAGTACAAAAATCCTACTTTTAGTAACTTATTTATTTATTTATTTTTTTGGACCAAGATTGAACCCAGGAGAGCCACATCCCCAGCCTTTTAAAAAAATATTTTATTTAAGAGACAGGGTCTCACTGAGTTGCTTAGGGCCTCACTAAGTTGCTGGCTTTGAATTCAAGATCTTCCTGTCTCAACTTCCCAAGCTGCTGGGATTGCAGGCATGCCCACCCCACCCAGTATGACTTATGTAGATATATCCCAACATAATCATTCTCTTAAGGTTGGACAGTTAACTAGTTTTCAGGTTTCATCAAATAATGTTGTGATTGATGCCATCTTGAATATAAGTCCACATTTGATTTTTAGGGGCAATAGACTGCTGGCCATTTGAATCCCTGTGGCTTATCTTAATGTCCTTTGCCTATTTTTGTATTTAAGTCAACATCTCTTGGATGCACTTTTTTGTTTGCTTTTGTTGTTTGATGTTGCTGGGGATGGAATCTAGGGCTTTGTACATGGCAAGTGCTCTATCACTGAGCTACATCCCCCATCCACTTTTCTTAAATAATATGTTAGCCCTCTTTCTGCCATATTGTACAGTATCCCTCCCAACTTTACCTCTTTTCATATTTGTTTTACTTTTGTTTGTCCTTATCAAATGTACTTTCAGTTGATTTGGACTGGCACTGGACAAACTAAGCTTCTTTCTTTGGCTGAAGAGTACTTAGCACCCAGCCTTCAAGCCATAATAATATTCTCAAGTTTTACTTATAATCAATTTTTTTTTAAAAAAACCTAACTGGGTATAACCACTTTTAAGATAAGAAAAAGGACAAATATTCATGGCATCCCAAATTCACCTAGGCAAACAAGTTTTCCATGAGACTAGAGTCTATAATAATAACTTGTCATCAAAATACCATCGAGCATTATAACAATGCATTTCATATGCCATGTCTAAGGTTAAAAGGCTATTTAAAAATTAGTATTAATGATGTAAAATATATATTAGAATGCTAATTTTTAATTTGTGCATTATAATTATACATAATAGTGGGGTTTGTGGTTCAATATTTGTACATGCACACAATATAACAATATAATTTTTAACAATATAATTTGGGGGGCTGGGGATGTGGCTCAGCGGTAGCGCGCTCGCCTGGCATGCGTGCGGCCCGGTTTCGATCCTCAGCACCACATACAAACAAAGATGTTGTGTCTGCCGATAACTAAAAAATAAAAAAAAAAAAAAAAACAAAAAAAACAATATAATTTGGTAAAATTTCATTCTTCTATATTTCTTCTTTTCTTCCTCTCTTCTCTCCCTGGTCTCCCTTCCATTTTAGAAAGCTAATTTTGATTCAACAATTAAAATTCCAGAACGAACTTATTTTGGGAGAAAGAAGACACACTGATTACACTGAGTGGCAAATTCAAGACTAAAAATAAGCCTTGCTTTATAATACACACAAACACACACACACACACACACACAATGGTACTGAGGATTGAACCCAGGGATGCTCAACCACTGAGCTACACCCCCAGTCCTGTTTTGTATTTTATTTAGAGACAGGGTCTCACTGGGTTGCTAAGTGCCTCACTAAGCTGCTGAGGCTGGCTTTGAACTCGCGATCCTTTGCCTCAGCCTCCCAAGCCACTGGGATTACAGGCATGTGCCACCATGCCTGGCTTTATTATCTATATTTTTAAAACCTCTAATTTCTAGGCAACAGATTAAAAATTTGTTTGTAATATAGTAAGTAAAGCCCCCAAACTGCCCTATTTCCTCTTGCCTTTTTTTTTTTTTAATATAAAAGCATTCTTTTTTGTTAGTAGACAGAATTCCTAGGTAAGATATCCAACATTTGCTTTACTGCCTTTGGCTGTTAATTCTAACAGGTGGTTCCACTAATAAGCCTATTTAAGAGTGCAGATACTTCTGTTTATAATTATAAGAACACACAGACAGACCAACACGAATTTGCAGACAGGTATTAGATGTTATAGCAAGAGAACACATTTGTTAAAAGCAAATGGGTATTTCTCAACAATTACTAGCCTCAACCTATGAGGCCCAGACCATTAACACTATTTTCTCAGCTCAGAGAAGGACAGATGTGGGCTTGTTGCCCTTCAAAGCTGACACAGCCATTCAGAACCGAAAAGTCCTGCTGTGATTCAGGGTAACTTCCCTTTAGGTTAACCAGTTGTGGTTCTTCTTTATGTTGTCAATTGCTCTTTGCTTCACACAGAACCAGTGCATTACATTCAAGAGATCTCAAAAGGGTAGGTATTATCAAAACTCTCGGTGTCTTAGAGGTTGAATGTATATTAAATGTTTTTTTTTTTTTTTAATGTGGTGTTGAGGATCGAACCCAGTGCCTTATGCATGCTGGGCAAGCACTCTACCTCTGAGCCACAACCCAGCCCCTAGGTATATTCTTTTTTTATTTTATTTTATTTTATTTTTTTATTGGTTGTTCACAACATTACAAAGCTCTTGACATATCATATTTCATACATTAGATTGAAGTGGGTTATGAACTCCCAATTTTACCCCAAATGCAGATTGCAGAATCACATCGGTTACACATCCACAATTTTACATAATGCCCAATTAGTAATTGTTGTATTCTGCTACCTTTCCTATCCCCTACTATCCCCCCTCCCCTCCCCTCTTCTCTCTCTACCCCATCTACTGTAATTCATTTCTCTCCTTGTTTATTTTCCCATTCCCCTCACAACCTCTTATATGTAATTTTGTATAGCAGTGAGGGTCTCCCTTCATTTCCATGCAATTTCCCTTTTCTCTCCCTTTCCCTCCCATCTCATGTCTGTTTAATGTTAATCTTTTCTTCCTGCTCTTCCTCCCTGCTCTGTTCATAGTTGCTCTCATTATATCAAAGAAGACATTTGGTATTTGATTTTTAGGGATTGACTAGCTTCACTAAGCATAATCTGCTCTAGTGCCATCCATTTCCCTGCAAATTCTATGATTTTGTCATTTTTTATTGCTGCATAGTACTCCATTGTGTATAGATGCCACATTTTTTTTATCCATTCATCTGTTGAAGGGCATCTGGGTTGGTTCCACAGTCTAGCTATTGTGAATTGTGCTGCTTTGAACATCGATGTGGCAGCATCCCTGTAGCATGCTCTTTTAAGGTCTTCAGGGAATAGTCCGAGAAGGGCAATAGCAGGGTCAAATGGTGGTTCCATTCCCAGCTTTCCCAGGAATCTCCAAACTGCTTTCCAAATTGGCCGCACCAATTTGCAGTCCCACCAGCAATGTACAAGAGTACCCTTTTCTCCACATCCTCGCCAGCACTTGTTGTTGTTTGACTTCATAGTGGCTGCCAATCTTACTGGAGTGAGATGGTATCTTAGGGTGGTTTTGATTTGCATTTCTCTGACTGCTAGAGATGGTGAGCATTTTTTTCATGTACTTGTTGATTGATTGTATATCCTCCTCTGAGAAGTGTCTGTTCAGGTCCTTGGCCCATTTGTTGATTGGGTTATTTGTTATCTTATTGTCTACTTTTTGAGTTCTTTGTATACTCTGGATATTAGGGCTCTATCTGAAGTGTGAGGAGTAAAAATTTGTTCCCAGGATGTAGGCTCCCTATTTACCTCTCTTATTGTTTCTCTTGCTGAGAAAAAACTTTTTAGTTTAAGTAAGTCCCATTTGTTGATTCTTGTTGTTAACTCTTGTGCTATGGGTGTCCTATTAAGGAATTTGGAGCCCGACCCCACAATATGTAGATCGGAGCCAACTTTTTCTTCTGTCAGACGCAGAGTCTCTGATTTGATATCAAGCTCCTTGATCCATTTTGAGTTAACTTTTGTGCATGGCGAGAGAAAGGGATTCAGTTTCATTTTGTTGCATATGGATTTCCAGTTTTCCCARCACCATTTGTTGAAGATGCTATCCTTCCTCCATTGCATGCTTTTAGCCCCTTTATCAAATATAAGATAGTTGTAACTTTGTGGATTAGTCTCTGTGTCCTCTATTCTATACCATTGGTCCACCCGCCTGTTTTGGTACCAGTACCATGCTGTTTTTGTCACTATTGCTCTGTAATATAGTTTGAAATCTGGTATCGCTATACCGCCTGATTCACACTTCCTGCTTAGAATTGCTTTTGCTATTCTGGGTCTTGTATTTTTCCATATGAATTTCATGATTGCTTTCTCTATTTCTACAAGAAATGCCGTTGGGATTTTGATTGGCATTGCATTAAACCTATAGAGAACTTTTGGTAATATCGCCATTTTGATAATGTTAGTTCTGCCTATCCATGAACAGGGTATATTTTTCCATCTTCTAAGATCTTCTTCTACTTCTCTCTTTAGGGTTCTGTAGTTTTCATTGTATAAATCTTTCACCTCTTTTGTTAGGTTGATTCCCAAGTATTTTATTTTTTTTGAGGATATTGTGAATGGAGTGTTTTTCCTCATTTCCATTTCAGAAGTTTTGTCACTGATATACAGAAATGCCTTTGATTTATGCGTGTTGATTTTATATCCTGCTGCTTTGCTGAATTCATTTATTAGTTCTATAGTTTCTTTGTAGACCCTTTTGGGTCTTCTAGGTATAGAATCATGTCATCTGCAAATAGCGATAATTTAAGTTCTTCTTTTCCTATTTTTATGCCTTTAATTTCTTTCGTCTAATTGCTCTGGCCAGTGTTTCGAGAACTATATTGAATAGAAGTGGTGATAGAGGGCATCCCTGTCTTGTTCCAGATTTTAGAGGGATGTATATTAAATGTTAAGGTAACCCTGCTTCTGAGGACTAGATATCATTTTTAGGAAATAAAATTAGTACAATTTAGTAAGGCAAGATGGAGTTAAGGAATTGTGTGATCACACTAATGTAACAAGGCAAGAAAAATTAGAAATAAGTCAATGACAGGAACTATACCCTGATGATAATAGGGCAGCCATGCAGTTTTTAAAAATTGACCCTGGCAGATTGCAGCATTAAATACAGCTCC